GTGGAGGAGGCAGCCGGGCTCTTGAAAACGGCGCGCGAGGAGCATCACGGGAATCCTCTGGAGGGCGTCTTGGCCGACGACCTCCAGGCAGCACTTAGCCCCGAACACGGGAGCTACTTTCGGGCCATGGCCGAGGGGGGAACGCCGTCGACGAGGACCACGACCAGGACGCGAGGTCTACAAGTCGCACTCTTCGGCCGTAGACCACGACGGGGAGATGTTCGAGAAGTGCTGGAAGGACTCGCGCTACGGCGTCGTCTAGTGGCCTTCGGAGGTCGTCAACGACGTGCTCGAGGCCTCTGCCGCCATCGAGTCCCCCGTGGGCCGTGTCCCCAAGCAGAACCCAGACCGGACCATCTCCTCGGAGGGCCGGCCGACCCATGGCATGAGGTGCGCCAACGTGGACAGCCCCAAGGAGCAACGCCCGCTGGCGAAGCAATCGCTCCATCGCGGGTTCGCCAGGCTGTCGCTGCGGTGGGAAGCCCGCCATCCTGGGGTGCCGCAGCTGCGCGCCAAGCGCGACGCTGCGCGCCAAGAGCGACCCTGGAATGAGTTCGACAGGGCCATGCAGCGCGTCTGGGGGGCCCCAGGCGGTCAACGCCGACAAGCTCGCTGAGGCGGGCGAGTTCGCCCCCGAGCAGCTGGCGCGGGGGCCGCGCATGAATTTCAGCGAGAAGGCCACGCGCCTCCCCGAGCAGAAGTGCAGCAAGCGCAGCGCCTGCTCGCCCTGCCAGAGTTGGCCCACGGAGCGCGCCGCGTCCCGACGAGCCTTGCCCAGGAGCTGAGGGGGCGCGCGCAGCGCTGGAGCTCGGCGCAGCCCGCGATCCGCCCAGCGCTACCCGCGCTCGACGAGCTCCTGGGGCACGTCGCCGGAGGGTCTCCTTGCGCGGCCCCCAAGGGCGACCCCGACGTCGCAGCGGCAGCGCGGGAGGAGTGGGGCCGCGCGCTGGAGCTCTTCATGGTGATGTTCGACGCGCCAGAGGCCTGGGGCACATCCTTCCAGGCAGGAGTCAGCCAGGCACTGACCCCCGCGAGTTGATGGCCTTGCCAGGGGTGGCCTGTCGCACCCGCTAGACAGGAGGGGGCGCGACTCTGGGCGCGATCGGGGCGGTGGGCTGGGGCCGTGCTGGAGACGGCGCCGCTGCCGGCCCGCCCTCGTACCTTGCGACAGAGGCGAAGCCGTTGCTGGAGCAGCTCAGTGACGCCGCGGTCGGGCCGAGCTCGGAGAGCGATTGGATCATTTCTATATCGTGGAGCTCCCAGCGCTGGCGGCGCTAGCGGCCTGCGGGGGGCACCTGTGGGCAAGCGGGCTCGTCTTCTACGTCGCGGACAACGCGAACGCCAAGTCCTGGCTGACGAAGCGCCAGCCCAATATCGCCCTGGCGCGCCACCTGCTGCGCGTGATCGAGCGGCTCGAGGCCGAGCGTAGCTTCGCGCTCGCGCGCGCATGCCACGACGAGGCGGCGGATTGGCCGAGGAGGGAGGGGCTGGAGAAAGTGCACGGCGAGCTCGCGAGAGCCAGCTGGCATCGCCTGGGGCAGCCCGCTGCCTGGGGCTCGATCGCCGCGGGCGCCGAGGACCGACTCCCGCGGGCCCCGGGCGAGACGAGGCCGCTGGCCGAGTCGGCGCTGCGGCGCCGCGCGCTCCAGACGCCCGCTGCGCCCGGGGCCCGCCCCCCGTTGGCGGGCCAGGTCGGCGTTGAGCTGGGTGGCCTCTTCCAGGGCTATGGCGACGCCTTCGTCAAGTTCCGGGGGCGGGGAGCCGGCCGGGGGCAGGCGGCCGCCTGGGCGCTGGCGTCTCGGCGATGAACCCAAGGGGCTTCGAAGCGGAGGCGCTCCTCGTCCGAGTGGGCCAAGACCGCCCCAGCGCGGTCGTCGCGGACACCCCCGTGGGACCGTCCGCCCGCGAGCTCGAGCGCTCTCTCAAGCAGCTCGGCTACACGCTGATCTCGTTCGACCTCTTGTGTTCCGAGCGCGGGGATGCAACGTCGGGGACTGGGGAGGTGTTGGTAGCCGGGCGCGGCCCAACTGGCGCACTGCCAGGCGAGCGCTAGGCTGCCGCCGACGCGCCGCGCGGCCCACGGGCCAAGCATTTCTTAGAGAAGGACCGGGGCGAGGGCTGACTGGGCAACCAGGGAGACGCCCCCCTGGGCCCCAAGATCGGCACCGCGAGCAACCCGCTGCAGCCGAGGCTGGCGGGGCACATCACGATCGAGGAGGTCGAGCGCTTACTGCGCAGCCCAGGCGGCCCCGCCGGCGCCCCGCGGCGGCCGGGGCAGGGGCCCACAGGGCCCGGTGTTGCGCTGCTCTGCATCCCAGGCGGCGCCCGCGGGAAGGCCTGGGCCCTCGCTCCGAAGGAGGTCTGGCGCAGCCAGGGCGGCGGGGGGCGCGCGCGTGGCCGAGGGCGCCCCCGCCGAGACACTCCTACGAGCGGCGGTGCGTGCCCTGCCGCCGGAGTCGGCTCGAGCTGCTCGAGGCGATCGCGCGGGGGCCGGGCGCGGACGCGGCGAAGGTTGGGGCGTGCCACGACCCCGAGGAGCAGGCTGCTTGGGACGCCACGCAGAGATGGTTCAGGGCCTGGGCCATCGCCCCCAACAACCCGGCAGGCCCTGCCAAGGCGCCGGCGGCCGGAGAGCTCCAACTCGACAAAGCTGCGGCCCGCCCGCGCGCTGCTGAGGGCGCGAGGTCGAGGCTGGCCCGCAAGGGGCGAGCGGTGGCGACGGCCGAGCTGGGCAGGCGCGCGAAGGATTGCCGCCCCCGCCCGCGCACCCCGCGCTTGGAGGAGAACGCCGCGGGAAGTGGCTTCGCGACCAGAGGGCCGAGGTGATGCCCCAGAAGCTCCGCGAAGGCACCGCGGGCACGAAGCGGGCGGCGCCAGTGGACGGCCGACCGCTCCACGCCGGGCAACTTAAGAGCCGCGGCCCCAGGGCCGGGGCAGGGCTGAGAGGTCGCAGGACGAGGATGTCCCGATCGATTTCGTGATCATCCTGGCGGTGGTGTCGGCGCGCACCGAGGGCGTGGCGAAGGGGCAACTATTCGCCGCCAGGCATGCGCACTTGGTCGTCGGGCATCCGCTCCTGCACCGGGGGGGGGGGGGGGGGGCGTGGACGCCTAAAGAGGCTCTAGGGGCCCAGCCACTGGCGCAAGGAGCCAGTCACCCCACGGATGCTGCTGTGGTTGAAGCAGCACATCCATCAGGGCGCGGGCCGCCGACGCCGCTACCGCGTGCGCGGCCATCCTGGTCGCTTTCTTTTTCCTCCGAGCGTCGGAGTATACTTGCTGACGGACAAGTCCTGGTCGCTCGAGAGAGTGGTCCACGGCGAGGATCCTGAGGCGAGATCCAGCCGTGAGCGAGTCGGCTTGTTCGCTCACGCAGACGAGTGCGTCTCGCGCATAAAGGGGTCGAAGACGGACCAGTGCAGCGTGGGGGCCGCGCGCAATCAGTACGCTACCCACTCGACGTCGCGCCCGATCACGGCGCTCGCGGCCATGCAGGCGCAGCCCCCGCAGCGCTTCGACCGCGGCGCGGAGGCGCGGCTGCCCCTGTTCGGGCGGGCCTCGGGCGCGCCGGCGAAGCGCGAGGAGGCGCGGCGCTTCCTTGCGCTGGCAGGCCTCGCGTCGGGCCTCAAGCGAGAGATGGGTTCTCATTATCAGAGCATCGGCGGGGCCACAGCGATGCACCACGTCACGGGCGACGTCGCCGAGGCCCAGCGGCGCGGCAGGTGGGCGTCGGATTCGTCCCGCGCCCACCCCTGGGAGTCGCGCGAACCGCAGCGGGGCGTGGCCCGGCGAGTGGCCAACGACCGCCCGGAGCTGACGACCCCAGGAGGGGGCCGCCGGCACCGGCGCCGGGCGAGCTGCCTCGGGGGGTCTCTCAGCCCTGGGCAAGGCGGCCGCGGCGGCAGTCACGCTGGGACACGCGGCGGCAGCCGGTCATGAGCTGTCGACGACGAAGAAGGACGGGATACATCGGCCTGCACCTGAGCGAGGGCAGGAAGGCAGGAAGGACGTCGTCGTCGCGATCCCCCTGTGGACCGCGGTGAAGGCCATCATCCTCTTGGTGCTCTTGGTGGCGGCGCCGGGCGCGACCCTGGCGCTGGCCCGGCACAGCCGGCGCAGTGCGCGGCCGAGTAGGCGGCCCAAGGGCCCGCGCGAGGCGCCGGGGGAAGCGGCCGCGGGCAAGCCGAAGAAGCCCAAGGCGGTCTACTGCGACGCTGGGGCTCAGGGGCCGGCCCACTTCAACCCCGCGCGCTACCTCCCCAAGAACCAGGGTTTCGGGCGCGGGGACGAGGTCACACGCGCGGCGGCTGACGAGCAGAATCGCGACTGACCGGCAGCGCGGCCGGCCGCGGGGCCTGACGCGCGAAGAAGTGGAAGGGGGCTCAGCCGCCGGCCTCGGAGCTCAGCGGCGCCGCCGGCCGGGGGGCCTGGCGAGCGACGAGGTGGAAGGGGATTCCGCCGCCGGCCTCGGCCTAGCGATCGAGCGGAGCCCGCTCCGGCGCCTCGCGCCAGGCGCGGCATTTCAAGTACCTGCGGGCGGTGCGCACTCAGGGCAGCAGGGTGCTGGGGAGGCGGCGGCTGCGCGCCCGAGGGCACCCTCCGGGCGGCGCGGCCGGCCGCTCATCGGCCACGCCCGCCCGCGACGCTCCGCAGCCCGCGCCCGCGGGCGCCGGGCGCAGGCGGCAGACGCCAGCAACCGTGACTCGCCCGGCGTCTCCAGGCCCCGCCCAGTTCCCGACGGCGGAGGCCCTTCTTCGAGCCTAGACAGGGCCGTTGCGGGGACGGCCGCGCAGGTGGCTCCCGCAGCCAGAGGTGACGGCAAGCCCGCTGACGCGCGGCGTAAGATGGTGGAGCGGGTGCGCACGCGCAGCGCCATGGCATCGACATCATAGTCTGCCTGCTGCTGCCTCCTCACCTTGGGCCTCAAACCACAGTTGGGCTCAAGTTTCAGTTCCGGTAGTGCGTACTGCTGGCCCAGACAGCTTTGTTGTTCGGCTTTAGCTTAAACGCTTTGCTTTCTGGGACCCCAGGATGCGGTTGTTTTTTGCTCTTTCTCTCGCTCTCCTCAAGCTCCGTGGGGCCAAGCTGGCCAACCCTAGGGACATAGTCCCTCCCAGCCCTGTTTAGAGGGCTCCGCCGGAGCTGACATGTACGTCAGGCGGCAGAGCCCGCTGACGCGTGGCGTAAGATGATTCAGCTGGTGCGCGCACGCAGCGCCATGACATCGACATCTTCATCATCTGAGTATGCCTGCTGTTGCCTCCTCACCTTGGGCCTCACACCACAGTTGGGCTTGAGCTTCAGTTTCGGTAGTGCGTACTGCTGACCCAGACAGACGTTTGATCGGGAGCGTTGAAGTATAACGATTCCACCACTATGCCGCTCCCCCCCCTTCTTACCCCCATCCCCCCCTCACCAGCCCTTTTCCGCTCCTTCTCTCCCCTCCTTTCTTCTCGCCCCCCCTCATTCTTTTTCCCTCCGGGACCTTTTTGGAAGGGTGTGGGAGCCGATTGTGCGAGGAACATCCAAGCGAAACTGCTGGTTCGGGGTGCGTCTGGCCTGATCCCGCACACCCCCCGCAAGCAATGAAGATCGGGCACGGTTGGGGGCCTCACGTCGTCGTGCGACAGGCGTTCGGGTGATGTTAGCTTCCAAGACAAGCTCCCTCAAACTGCCCCCACACAGTCGTTCCTGCAACCGCAACATGCATGCTGCTATGCTTGTGCCCTCTCCTTCCCGACGTTCGGGTAGATAGCTGGAAGCCCGATTGGGACGGTCGGCGGCAGACGGAGAAAGACTGGGAGGGAGGATGGCGGAAGCGTGACAGAGCAGTGGCTTGTCATGCAGCAGCAAGCGGTCGCACCCTTTATTGTCCACTCAGCGCCACCATCAAGCCCTGGCCCGCGCTCTTGCCGTGAGCACTGTTCAGGGGGAGTGTGTTCAGGGGGGGAAGTCCTCTACCAGTGCCCCCTGTCCTCCACCAGTGCCCCGCTGCCCCGGTTCTCTGCAGGTGACTTTCCAGAGGAACAGGCAGGCCGCGGGATCGGCCGACCTGAGGCTCCTGATGACTCAGGTTTGCCGCCCTCTTCGGGGAAGCGGGAGAAGGCGTTGAACGGAGACAATACTGTATCTGAGCGAATACAATCCGACATTCGAAGCTGAACGGAGAGAACATTTCACTGACCGTTTCAAGCACGGAGTGCTGAAGAACACCGATTGTTTGATTGATCGCGGGAATTTGAAAGGTAAAACGAAATAATGTGTCCCCCATTGTTGTGCGAAGCCAGCGTTGGACAGTTGCAGGCCAGAGGAGTCTTTCTTTGCGCGCGCGCACGCAGTGTTTTTCAATGATTGTGGCCCCTCCGGGGTAATTTGGAGGCCTCGGGGGCTGTCTTAGTGGCATTGGAGGCCTATGAGGGACGATTTAGTGGCGATGCAGGGGCCCCTGGGGACGACTTTGGGGCCCAGGGCAGATTTTCACCTTGTCGTCCTGTTGGCGACGCCCATGGGAATTAAGTTACGAGCGCCCATTTTGGTTTTTGGGCCAAACTTTGAGCTCTTGGCGGCTCTGGGGCCATCTGAGCGCTTGTGGGGGCGATCTCGGATGCATGTATGGTGATTCTGGATGCCATCTTGGGGCATCCCGGGGCCACATCAATGGGTCAATGGGGCTGTGAGAGATTCTTGTGTGCTCTTGACGGGCTTCCTCGTCCCGTCGTTCGCCTTCTTCTCCTCGCGCTGTATTCCTCCTGCTCCTTGTCCTCCTGGCAGTTGCCACCTCCACTGCCGCTGCTGTCCCTGGGACTCACTGTAAGTGCGCCCGCGGCGAGGTCGCGGGGCTCAGCGCTCAACTCAAGGACCGCAGCGGGGTGTGCGCAGGCTGTGTTCGAGGTCGGGCCGTCAGAGGAGGCGGAAGGAGCGTGTGCCAGGATATCCGGCTGCTGGAATCAAACGAGATGACCCGCCTTTTGCAATTTCGGGCCGCGGAACGCCTGCTTCGGGCCACGGGGCCGCTGAACAACTACTTAGGGTCAAAAGCTGCCGGGAGGCGAGTCAGGCGTTCAAGAGAGAAGAGAAGAACAACAGTGACATGAGTGTAGTCCGTGGGGCTAGCCTGAAAGGGCTAGGACTCCAACTGCGAGGGTGGTGGTGGTCGCTCCGATGATGCTGTCACTGTGATATGTGTGGATGTGTGTAAGACTGTGCTTGTCGACGTGCAGCGTTCAACTCGTGATCAGTCTGCTGAACTTCAGAACGTGAGGACGCCGTCCAAAGAGGAAGTCACGTGGAGGAAATATATGAACAAGGGCGGAGAGACGGGGTGTGCATAAGTGTGTGTGTGTGCCTATGCTGCACAGAGCTCTTGCTTGTCAGCTTGACTGACACCGGGGCTACCTACCTGTATAGGTCACGATCTCACACATGGTGGTCAATTGGTTCAAACAATGTCCCGTCTTGGCTGGCGCAGTGATTGTGACCCATCGCCGCGCTCAAGGATCATGTTGTGTGTGCCTAGAGCACCGCTCTTCACCCAGGCGCCCCCCGTCGCCCCATTTCACTGCTGCCTCCCCGTGAGACTTGGTACAGCGCGTTTCCCTATAGGTGAGCCCTGTACGTTCCCACCTGGCCTCTGAGCGCCCAGTCGCGGCCGCCGCGTTGCTGCGCCCGTGGCCGCGACGCCCAAACAGTGCGCGCGCGAGTGTGTGTGTGTGTGTGTGCGCACGCGCATTTTGAGCCCTTGCTTCAGTGACGTCACTCGGCCGCTGAAGGAAAAGTATGTGCGTATGCGTGTGTGTGTGTGTGTGAGCACGTGTGGTGTAGGTGTTTGTGTGCGTACGTGTATGCGCGCGCAGATTTGTGTGTGTGTGTGTGTCTGTGCGTGACTTGCATACAGCGTGTCCCCTGTTGCCCATCCGCCGGATCACTCACCTTTTGCCCAGCCGCCGACGCAAAATGTGTGTGAGCGTGTGTGCGTGTGTGTGTGAGTGTGTGCGTGTGTGTTTGTGGCAGACGCGTGGCAGCCACTTGCTCGTCTCCGCTTTATCTATTGTCGCTCGTCGTCCTCCGCATTTTTCGCCTTTTGGGGTTCTGCCTCCGCTGGTCGCCCCGTTGCGATCGTCTTGCAGTGTTTCCTTCTCGTGTTGTGTTTCTTCCCGCAGTCGCGTCGTGCTCTTTGTGCTTGATGCCTGTCAAGCACTTGCGTGCTATTCGTTAGATTGTTGCATTTGCTCGCGCTCGCCTGACTCGTAGCCCTGGGGAGCACGGTTTGTCCTCGAACGCATTCGTCAGAAGTGCTCTGCAATGTTCGCCCGCGTTCCCCACCTATGCCTGACAGGTTGTTGGTGCAACGCTGTGGGGAATGAGCAGGTGCGTAGGTGTGTGTGTGTGTGTGAGTTGTGGACCGTTCATGTTGGACACCACCTGGCGCCGACGCGAAAATTGTGCGCGTGTGTGTCTTTAGCCTGGCTCAAACCGTCGGGACTCGAGGGGGCGCCCAGACGCTGTTTGGCCGCCCGCCGGCCCGCGCGCATCCGCGGAAACCTTCCTGGGGACGTTCACGAAAACCACGCACGGTCCCGCGGAGGCCCTGGCACCTGGAAGCGAGTGTGATGGCCTTGCTGGCCACAAGACCAAGTCGTAGCGATGCCAGGATGACAATAATCGCCTGGGGTGACTTTCCGGTCGCTCCGCGGAAAAAGCTGCGGCCTCGGTTGCCTGCGCGCAGGTATGGACAGCAATCAGTCGCCTGCGTAGCTCGGACTCGACCAGCTCGGTAGTCTCGCAACGCGCACCTGGTGTGAGGGACGAGTCATGCACCGCTGTCACTGGAGGAGGGACTAGGTCTTTGACTAGGTGCGGGCCGTGCGAAGCCGACCCTCCTGCCGCAAGTGGCATCAACGTGCAGGGCCCTGGGGTGGCACAAAGGAGGAGGACGAGGAGGAGGAGGAGGAAGAGGAGGAGGAGGAGGAGGAGGAGGAGGAGGAGGAGTCCTTGGACGGAGGTGGCCGCCTCCCCCCTCCCCGCGGCTCAGGTCATGAAGGTCAAGTAGGAGAATTGGGCCCCAGAGGCGCCTGGGTCAACAGCGAGATCCGCCAGCTCCTGGCGACAAGCAGAGGGACGAGTACAACGCCCATAACAGCCGATCCCAGACGACGCGAGACTTCCCGACTTCCTATTCTGTCACCCTGGACAACCTGGCGGCGCCTGGGGCTGACCGGCACGCCCGACGCCCGTTCCCGCGCGGGTGCCAGGTGGCGAAACCGACAGACAGCAGACCTCCTGGCGCAGACAAGCTCCCACAACCCACTGGCAGATGGCACCCCCATTTCCCAGGAGTGGACTGAAGAAGACCGTTTTGGGGCGCAGGCCGCGCGCATGGAATGCCTGGGAATATGCGACGGACGCCGGGCCGCTGAGCCAGCCCTGGCATGGAGGCCTGGAGAACCTCCGCTCGGCGCGTTCGCCTCCCGCCCCGACGGAGGCGGCGCGCGGCCTTCCCGCCGCCCCAGGCTGGGCCCGCGCCATCAGGGAGATGGCCGGGCCTGGAATGCCCAGCGGTGCTGCGCGGGATGCCTAGTCCATATCTGGGGCGCCTGGCCGTCTGACGCGCGGGCCATCCTTGCTAGAGACGGGGTCCTGGCCCATCCCGACAGCCCGCGGCCGCGCGATAGGATGGCGCCCGGTTTCAGATGTGGCTCCTATCAGCTGAGCGTCAAAACTGCGCCCCCTGCAATCAGCGTCCTCAACCTGCCCGACGACCCGGGCCAGCGCATAGCGCAACGGGCTGCCAAGATCACCGACGATCCACTGGAGCTCTGTGCTGGCCCCAGCGATTTCGCCGACGCCAGGGGCCTCCTAGACATGGCCAGAAACCTGGCAGCGCGCCGCCCGGCTGACGGATCCGGAGCCGAGAGCGCAGGCCGCGCTCGAGACCGCATGGAAGGGCCAACGCCGAGCATCCCTGGCCCGACGCGATAGCGCACCGCGATCGCCCAAACGCAAGCGCAGGCCTATCTTTACCCAGGGCGCCCGCAAGGGGTCTGGCGCGGCGGGGCGGGTCCACGGGGCCGGGAGGCCGACGGGCCCTGCCGCCAATGCAGCAGCAGAATGAGAAGGGTCAGCCGAGAGGGGTCGGCCCGCCGGGCCAGCCGCGGCAGCGCCCGCGCCGGCGAGCGCGCCAGCGGATCCCCCTACAGGGCAGCCGCCGTCCTGGACCCCGCCCCCCGCGCCACCCGGCGACAGCTCGAAAGGGGCGGGCGCCTGCGCTGCCGCCGCAGAGGGGGGGGGCGCGGTGCCAGCAGCAGCGCCTGCACCTGCGCGCGCGCCCGCGGCCCCCCTCTGCCGGGTAGCCG